TCTCATCCGAGGAGTTTCTGCGACAGTTGTGCAGGGAGGAGTTCTCCAACATGCCCTCCGCTCTCTCCTCCGAGGCCGGGACCTCCGTCGCAGGCACGATCAACGCTGATCACAATGCGCTATTGATGATGTTATTGGACATGCTCTCTCAGATGCAGGCCGCAGTTGCTGAGCAGACGTCTGACGTGCAGCAACAGATTCAGAGCGCCATCGCCCCGAAGCTCGACGCTCTCCATTGTAAAATGCAAGCCCAGCTCGACGACCACGCTGGCCTACTATCGTCTGCTCAGCGCCGCCTCGACTCGCATGACACGGGGATTGCGGAGCCGCGCTCCCAAATGCACGCCCTCCGCATGGAGCTTGTCCTCGCCAGCGAGAAGCCGAAGCCTCAGGCCGCCCCCCTCCCTCGTTCGACTCTGGCGCCGGCCCCGCCATTCTCGTCGCCGTCGTTCAGAAGGTCATCGCCAGTGTTCAGCTGTCCATCGCCCCGTGGCTTGCGTCTCTGGGCTTTAACCCCTCTGAGTTCAAGATCGAGCAGCGGTCAACCTCGCCTCCCGGGCCCTTCGAAATCCTCTTCGCTGGGGCTCCTGGGGTTGCCTCTCGCAAAGTGTCGAAGGCCCTCGCCAGCCTCAAATCCAATGGTGCCTGGAAGGAGTTCTGCCCCCCCCCCGTTGGTGCTGAGCGATGCCGCCTCCATCTCGGCCCTGACAAGAGCCCCGGACAGATCAAGCTGGAGGTCACCCCCCGCAAGGCTCGCGCCCTCGTCGAGGAGCAGTGCCCCAACGAGCGCTACTACACCGACCGTGAGCACGGCATCCTGTCAGTTGGCTGGGACAAGATCATGCAGGTCCACATCTTCCACGTCGACGAGCCCCAGAAAATCCCTTGGGGCATCGCGCAGCTGGCCAAGCGTGACATGTCTGACACCACCCCCCCCGCGACGCCACCATGCCAGTCGCTGCGCCCACGGGCCCCAGACAGTGGTCTCTTTAGCGCTGCTTTTCTATTTCAGTTACCGCGTGCTCCCGACTCACCGTGTCCCCCGCTGCGCTTCGCGACCTGGGACGCTCGGGCTCTTCTCCAGGCTTGTGGCGACAAGGCCGCCTTGAAGCACCACTACATACTGCGACTTCGCCCCGAGTCCACCTCGCCTTCGCCATCGCTGGGCATCGACGACTCCTGACCTACTCGAGGCCAAAGACTTCCTACTCCACTGTGGGGTGCTCGCGCAGGACGGTTCCATCGCCCGCCCGTTGGCATTTGGCCCTCCTCTTGGCGTTAGAACGCAAGTCCCGTTGTCGTGTTCGGGCTCGCCGTCGCCGCGCCCCTCTCTCCACGGCGTTAGAGCGCAAGTCCCGTTCCTTGACTCGGGCTCGCCGTCGCCACTGGCCGTTTCTCTCTGGGGTGCCGCCTCTCCCGACGGCGTTAGCGCGCAAGTGCCGTTGTCGTTTTCGGGCTCGGCGTCGCCCCCTCTCGGATGCCTCGAACTTGGCTCTTCTGCCACCGGCGTTAGGGCGCAAGTCCCGTTGTCGCGTTCGGGCTCGGCGTCGCCTGTTGTCGGCTGCCTCGATCTCGGCCCTGCTGCCGTGGGCGTGGGATCGCAGGTCCCGTTGTCGTGTGCGGGCTCACCGTCGCCACTTGCTGGACCTGTGGGCACTTACTCGTCTTGGCCGATTGCCCCGTCGAGTTCCCCTCGACGGCGATTGCCACCTGTTCTTCGATGACGCCCTCGGCTCTAATGGCCGCGCGAAGTCCCCAGATGGCTACTCGTCCTTCTACGCTCGAGCCCAGTTCTTCGATTGCGCCCGCGACCCTGCCGTCCGCTTGCGCTTCCCGTTCGGTAGGCATCGCCCTCACCATTCCCTCCGCTTGCGTTGGCCGTTCCCCCTCCGGCCGCGTCTTTTCGACCCGCCCGCCCCCTCCGCCCCCCCGCCCTTCGTTCGCGAGACCTGCCTGTGCTGCTGCGTGCCCCTCGCTCGCTCCTCCCCTCGGCCCGTGCTGTTCTCCACGCGCCCGCACCTCCAGATGTTCCCCGCGCGCCTGCGGTGCGTGCCCTCCGCCCCCTCGCCCTTCGCTCCTGGGTCATGCTTCTGCCGCTGCCTGCCCCCCCGCCCGCTCCTCACCCCCTCGTGGACATCTCGACTGTCCCTGCTCTGGGGCCGCCCTGTCCGCCCTCTTCGCTCCAATTTTCCCCGCGCACCTGCTGCTTCCCTGCCTGCTCCCCGCTCGCTCCCCGCTCCTCCGTCCTGGCCGCTGCCGCGCCGCTGCTGCCCGATCTCCTGATTGAAACAGCGGCCGCTCGCATCGCCCGCGCAGTGTGGGCCCATGTGCCGAGCTTCGAGGCGCCGCCTTCGGGCCCCGCGTTTCCGTCCTTGGCCTCCTCTTCTCACGAGCCCCTGACTGAAACAGCGGCCACCCGCGTCGCCCACGGCGCGTGGGCCCAGTTGCCGAGCTTCGAGGCGCCGCCCACTGGCCCCGCGTTTCCCTCCTTGCCCTCTTCTCCTCTCGAGGCCTCTGTGCTGCTGCCCTGCGCCGTCCCGCCGGATCCTCCTCCTCCCCCTCCGTGGCCCTGCCCATCGTCGCCCGTTTTCGACTTCCGTGTCTCGGATGCGTTACTGTCTACTTTCCTGGGTGGCTCTCTGCCCCCTCACCCTTGCTCGGGGGCTTAAAGGCTTAGTTGCTGACGAGCCTTGGTCATGCGCTGGGCTCCTCCTCCTCCCCGTCCTCCTCCTCCTCCTCCTCCTCCTCCTCCTCCTCCTCCTCCTCCTCCTCCTCCTCATCCTCATCCTCATCCCCATCCTCATCCTCATCCTCATCCTCCTCTTTCCTCTTTCCTCCCTCCCCCCTCCTCCCTCCTCCCTCCTCCCTCCTCCCTCCTCCCCCCCTTCCCCCTCCCTCCTACCTGCTCCGCCCCCTTCCCCTGCCCCCTGCTGCTGCCACAGCCAAGGTGCCGAAACGAGAACCGCCTCGGCGCTCTGGAGAGGCTCGGGTCTTCGGGCCGCTGTTCGGGGTCGGGTCGGAGAATCCCGTGCGTGGCCGGGGTTCGCCGTGGCCAGAAAGAACCCCTTCCGTACCCAGCAGGCTTGCGCCTTTCGGCCAATCCCCAGAGGATATTCCGAATTTCTTATTAACCAACCAGGGGGTGACAAGCGTGAAAACGCGGGGCGGCCCCCCCTCTCCCCCAGCGCCCCCCCCCGCGTCCCAGCGGGGAAGGGGACGAACCTCAGACCCCCCGTGGCACCTCCGCGGGCGCGCCGCGGCCAACCCCCAGGGGCGCTCCAAGGGGGGGGGGGGGGGGGCGATTATCAAGTGATCCAGAGTACGTAGAACCTTCCTCGATTGCCAAGTGGTGGGGCTCTTGGGGAACCTCTCGGCGGCGAGCGAGGGGGGGGGGGGGCAACTGAGAAGGAAAAGGCCTTCTCGGAAGGCGGCGGGACGTCTCAGGAACCATCGCGCCTTCTGAGACGTTTTCTGCGTCTTCGCGGGATTTCAAAGCCTTATGAAAACAATTGTTCCTTCTCACTTCCACCCCTCGCTCGCCGCCGAAACACTGCGGAAACTACGCTCATAAGTTGGGAGACTGTTTGGTGATTCTCGCAGCTTTTCCAAAAGGTCGGGAAACATTTGGGGGTATGCAGCACGTGCTGGCGATTGTGTATCTGCGCATATGAACATGATTGCGGGCGAAGCGCGCGGGAACAAGTTAGCTCGAAACGACAGCGAAGAAGCGCCGGCGTGCGTGAAGTGCTGGACATGAGAGATGTTGTGCGCGACGGCAGGCGTAATCGGCGGAGCCCCGACGTGGTACGTTATTGTGATGCCCTGGGACACAAGGACACGAGGAACACAAGTAATATGATAACAAAGAGGACGAAGGACGGAGGAGGAGGAGGAGGCGGAGTAGGAAAAGGAGGAGGAGGAGGAGGAGGAGGAGGAAAACGAGACGGGGAGGAGGAAGAGGAAAAGGAGGAGGGGGAGGGGGAGGAGGAGGAGGAGGAGGAGGAGGAGGAGGAGGAGGAGGAGGAGGAGGATGAGGAGGAGGAGGAGGAGTGGAACAGGAGCTGCAGGAGGAACCGTCAAGTGGGACCTTTCGAGCATAAGCCCGTCACATGCGGCAGTTGGCGTCCCTAACATCCTTGAGCCGTCGAACTTGTTGCGGGGCCTCTTGAGGTCCTCTTGACGGCCTCGAGGGGGACCTCTCGGGAGCCTTTGGGGGCCCTCTGGAGGCCCTCTGGGGCCTTCTAACGGGGTGTCGTGCAAGCCTTTTAGGGCCATCTAGCGGGGATGGCTTCCGGGCTCCCTTCGAGTTTCCCCTCTTGAGCTTCTCTTGGGGGGGGCCGTCTTCTGATGCTGCTGCTGCTGGTCGTCGTCATCGTCGTCGTCGTCGTCGTCGCCGTCGTGGTCGTCATCCCAGGTGCTAGGCGCCTTCGGGGTCAAGTCCGTGGAGCTGGGTGAGTCGGAGGCAACTGCGCAGTTCGGCTCCAGAGAGGACCCCAGCGGGCTCGGCGGGTGGGCGAGGGGGGGTGGGGGAAGAGGAGGAGGGAGTTACGTGGGCAAGACTTCCAGCAGCACCGAAGGCTCGATCCTTGCCGCAAAGAGGCCTAACAGGTACGGCGAAGGAGCGTTGCAGCGAGTAACCGCCTGCCCCGGATATTAAATCATACTGAGAGTTTAATATCCCGGCCAATACAGAGTTGGTCGGGGAAGAGGGGCGGCAAGGCCGAACTTGATTATCGCGGGGGAAAGTTGCGAATCGAAGTTGCTTCTTTCTTATGTTGAGTAGCAAGGATTTCCTCAGGTTTACGATGGATTCCTTCGGATCCCTTTGGGATCTGATGCATATCCTTTGAATACTATGGATTTTCTAAAACCCTATGATTTCCTAAGGCGTCCTGTTCCTCCTCTTCCTTGCGCCTCCCGCCCCGAACTGTTTTATCGCGGCTGTTTTTTTGTATCACCGCAAACGAGCCGCCATGGATTCCACACATGAGACATTGAAAACGATGAAAATAATTGCTTGTTACAAATAACAAACGTAAGGTCCCGAATCGAAGTTTGTTTGGAGTAGTGGTCCTGAGGCTCCTCCTCCTCCTCCTCCTCCTCGTCCTCCTCATGGATTTCCTGAGGAGTCCTAATCCTATCCTCAGAATTTCTCAAGGATTTTTATACAGCGTCCAGGATCATCTTTATCATCATCACCATCGTCATCATCTTCATCATTATGTTGCGAACTCCGGGAAAACGTTCATTATCCCCCCTGGACCCCGAACTTTGATATCCCCAGGGATTCATATCAGGAGCGCAGGGTTACTACTCAACGGCAAGCTCCCTGCGGGATGTAGATGGATGTATTGGCCGACTGGATCGGGCAGGGATGGGAGGTCAGGCAGGTCTGGGGGCCCTCATCGGCTTTGGCCAGGCCCCGCCCGCGGTAGCGCGAGGCCTCCACAGGAGCTGAGGATTTTGGTCTTGGCGGCGGAATAGACGATAATTGCCTCTGTGAGTCGCCAGAGGGTACATCGTAGCCTTTCCCAGGAAGTCTTAGGATGCGTGGACAGCTGCGCTTGGAGAGACGACGCCTCGGCCGAGCGCGCACCCCCTGGATCACCTCGTGGACAGGTGACGACGATGGTGCTGCAGTGATGCTGTTGGTGGTAGTGATGATACTGATGATGATGAGGAGGAGGGGGAGAAGGATGAGGAGGAGGAGGATGAGTATGATAACGAGGATGAGGATGAGTATGCGGATGAGGATGATGATGCGGATCAGGAGGAGGAGGAGGATGGTGATGATGATGGTGGTGATGATGATGAGGAGGAGGCTGATGATGATGATGATGATGATGATGATGATGAAGAGGAGGAGGAAGGTGATATGGTGATGCTGATGGTGATGGTGATGGTAATGGCGAAGGCGATAGCGATGGTGATGATGGTGATGATGATGGTGACGATGAGGTGATGGTGATGGTGATGGTGATGGTGATGGTGATGGTGATGGTGATGGTGAGGATGGGGATTAGGATGATGATGGTGACGATGAGGTGATGTTGATGGTGATGGTGATGGTGATGGTGATGGTGATGGTGATGGTGAGGACAGGGATGAGGATAATGGTGATGGTGGTGGTGATGGTGATGGTGATGGTGATGATGATGATGATGCTGATGATGATGATGATGATGATGATGATGATGATGATGATGATGATGATGATGATGATGATGATGATGATGATGATGATGATGCAGCTAATGATGATGATAATGATGATCCGCCGGCCCCCTTGTGGGGCCACCAGGCTGTAGGCCCGTGATTCGCAGTTTCCTGTACCAGTCGTAGGTTGTAGTTTCCAGTGTTACATTTCTGCTTCTTGCTGGTTACTGTAACTAGTTGATTGACCGCGCGAGGGGGGGGGAGGCCCAAACAAGATTTTTAGCACCCCCTGGGCGCGTTGTCTGAATTGCTGGGGGGGCTCGAAATCGACACCTCTCACGCAGATCCGCGGGGTCAGGGTCCAAAAACACATGGGATTTGCCACATTTCTGAAATTCGGTGCCACCCCTCACGCAGATCGCGGGGTCAGGGTAGGGGATTTGCCGCATTTCTGAATTTCGGTGCCACCCTCACGCAGATCCGCGGGGTCAGGGTCCAAAAACACAGGGGATTTGCCACATTTCTGAAATTCGGTGCCACCCCTCACGCAGATCCGCGGGGTCAGGGTCCAAAAACACATGGGATTTGCCACATTTCTGAAATTCGGTGCCACCCCTCACGCAGATCCGCGGGGTCAGGGTCCAAAAACACAGGGGATTTGCCACATTTCTGAAATTCGGTGCCACCCCTCACGCAGATCCGCGGGGTCAGGGTCCAAAAACACAGGGGATTTGCCACATTTCTGAAATTCGGTGCCACCCCTCACGCAGATCCGCGGGGTCAGGGTCCAAAAACACAGGGGATTTGCTACATTTCTGAAATTCGGTGCCACCCCTCACGCAGATCCGCGGGGTCAGGGTCCAAAAACACATGGGATTTGCTACATTTCTGAAATTCGGTGCCACCCCTCACGCAGATCCGCGGGGTCAGGGTCCAAAAACACATGGGATTTGCTACATTTCTGGAATTCGGTGCAACCCCTCACGCACATCCATCGCAAGGCGTGGTAACCCAAACTGCGAGTACTCCCTCGGCCCTTTCATCCCAAGGTGTGGTAACCGAGCTCGTAAACCATACACGTCTTACCAATCGCCCTGTGTGGTAACCCCTCTTGTGATCAGTTGGTTTTGCCGATTGCGAATCGGCGTCGCATGAAGTTCCGATACTGCTGCACGACAGCGCCAAAGCGTCATGACTTAGCTCTTCCATGGCCCATTCTCCGAGAGAGGGGGCCGGCGGCAGGGGGCGAAGCCCTTATGGATAATGAGGATGAGGATGAGGATGAGGATGATGACTATGATGCTGATGATGATGATGCTGAGTGATGATGATGAATGGTGATGATGGGTGATGATGATGATGATGATGATGATGATGACGATGAGGATGAGGATGAGGATCATGATGATGATGATGATGATGATGATGATGATGATGATGATGGTGGTGGTGGTGGTGGTGGTGGTGGTGATGATGCTGTTTGTGATGGTTACTGTGATGATGAAGATCATGACCACGACGACAACGACGACGACGGCGACGGTGACGACGACGACGACAACGACCAGCAGCAGCAGCAGCAGGGAACGAGAGGGGTACAGTCACCGTACTATCACGAGGAAGGCTGAATCCGCCGACCCCCGCATTCGGGGGGCCAAAAAAAGCATGAGATGCAATTGGATGGCCTGGGCTCGTAGGCGGTGATACACTTGGCTGTCCCCCCTTCTTTTGTCCCCCTTCCCCCAGGGTCCAATATCCGGAGGAAAGCGGGGTCTACGGGCTCCAGAACGCATTTTCCAGGATCCCAGGGCGTCCGAGTGCATCCTCCGTCGCATCAAGATGCCCAAGAGAGGACGCAGCCGCGACAGGAAGGCCTCAAACGCACCGCAGATGGTCGCAAGACGGCCCACGAGGCTCTCAAGACGCCCCAACGGTGACGGTGATGGTGATGGTGTTGGTGAATATGATGACGATGATGACGATGATGACGACGATGACGATGCTGATGACGATGAGGCTGACAGTGACGACGGCGATGTGCTGAGCCTGATGCTGATGCTGATGCTGATGCTGATGTTGGAATTGATGCCGATGCTGATGCTGATGCTAATGATGATGGCGGTGGTGATGATGATGATGATGATCATGATTATGACGTTGGTGATGGTGATACCGATAAATACTTCGTACCATTATCACCACCACTATAATGTAATAGTGGAATCATTATCACCCTCATCACCACCTCTATAATTGTACCACCACTATAATTTTATTATCATTTCACCACCATTCATTGGACACAGATTTTTATATAATCATTTCCTGTGCTTAAGAACATCAGTAACAATTTCACTAGTGATAACTCATAATGGTTACAATGGTGCTGACGATGATGATGAAGATGATGACGTTGATGATGGTTCTAATGATGATGTTGGTGGTGGCGATAATGGTATTTCATAATCATTATCACCACCACTATAATTTTTCAACAGTATCACCACCACTAGAAATGTTTTCAAATTATTTTTTCATCATTATTGAGTATTATTATGATATTCAGTGGTAGTATGACTAATGATAAAGCATAATGACTGTGATGGTGATGGCGATGGTGATGATGAAGATTCTGATGATGATGATGATGGTAATGATACTGATGATGATGTTAGTGACGATGATGACGATGAGGGGGAGGAGGAGGAGAAGGATGGTTGGGTTGGTGGTGGTGATGATGATGGTGATTATGATGGCGCTGTTGCTGCTGCGGCTGATGATGATGATGATGAGGAGGAGGAGCTAGAGGATGATGGGCATGATGATGATGCTGATGACGATGATGGTGATGATGATGCTGACGATTATTGTGATGATGATGACGATGACGATGACGATGATGATGATGATGATGATGATGATGATGATGATGATGATGATGATGATGATGACGTTGTGGATGAGGATGATGATGGTGATGATGATGAGGATGAGGGTGAGGATGAGGATGATGCTGATTATGATGACGATGATGATGGTGATGATGAGGTGGATGAGGATGAGGATGAGGATGATGATGAGGATGATGCTGGTTATGGTGATGATGCCGATGCTGATGATGATGGGTGTTGATGGATGATGATAATGATGATGATGACGACGACGATGATGATGATGATGATGACGATGATGATGATGATGATGATGATGATGATGATGATGATGATGATGATGATGATGATGATGATGATGATGATGATGATGATGATGATGATGATGATGATGATGATGATGATGCTGATGCTGCTGCTGATGATGATGATGATGAGGAGGAGGAGGAGGAGGAGGAGGGAGGAGGAGGAGGAGGAGGAGGAGGAGGAGGAGAAGGAGGAGGAGGAAAGTAATAATGACAATGCCAATAATACGAAGAAGAGGAGGAGGAAGAGGAGGAGGAGGATGGGAAGGAGACGGAGGACGAGGAGGAGGAGGAGGAAGAGGAGGAAGAAGAGGACGAGGAGGAGGAGGAGGAGGAGGACGAGGAGGAGGAAGAGAAGAGGACGAGATCGAGAAGGAGGAGGAAGAAGAGGACGAGGAGGAGGAGGAGGACGAGGACGAGGAGGAGGAGCAGGAGGAGGACGAGGAGGAGGAGGACGGGGAGGAAGAGCCATGGGGGAGGGAAGAGCGGAGGGAGGGCAGGTGTGCGCCGGTGTACGTTGAGGAGGGGGCGGGGGTCCCCGGCCTTCCTTGGGCAGCAGAGACCTGCCAGGACGCGATCAGCGCGGTGCTGCGCTGCAGAGAGCGCAGGCACGACCTGCCGTTCCGCGTCGCGCTGGCGCCCGCCAAGGCGTGCCCCCTTGGGTTTTGTGCTTTGGAGCTGGGGCTGGCCCGTCGCCTGGCCAGTCTCTTCACAGCACCCCTTGCCATCGTCCTCCCCCCCTCCCCCTCCTCCTCCAAGTCCCCCTCCCCCCTCCCCCTGCCCCCCTCCCAGTCCCCGTCCCCCGAGACGGAGGAATCCAGGAGCGACTCCAAGATTCTCTCTGGAGTTGATTCTTGTCCAACTGGATCCAGACACCAGCTGTCCCATGCATTAACACATGAGTTCATCCACCTCTACATGGATTCAGAGGGTCTCATTAGTGCCCAGACTCTGTCTAGGCCACACCCCATCTCTACTTGAGGTTTTCCCAAGCTTGGCCCAGACCCTAAGTCGGTCCAGACCCTAGCTGGGCCAGTCGGCTCAGACCCCAGCTGGGCCCAGACCCCATGTCGGCCCAGACCACGCCCAGCACGACCGCCATGGCCACGGCCGCCACGGCCACGGCCGCCACGTCCACGGGCGAGACACAGAATAGACGCACAGTTGTTCGAGTATAGCTCGAGGAGACGGAGGCCGAGTTCGGCTCCCTCGAGGTTGCAAACTGATGCTTTCGATGATGCCCGATCCACCGGTAAGGCCAAGGACTCTGCAGATGCTCTGAATCCCGAGACTCATTGGGAAAACAAGTCGCCACAGCATAACAGTTGCAGCGCGGAGCTATTTCCCAACCCTCCTTGTGTTGGGTACTCGTTTTGAAAAGAGAACTGTGGTATCCACTTCCCGCCCGCTCCTCCTCCTTTTCTCCTGTGTTCGCGGTGCCCTGCGGGGCTGCGATCTGCGCAACTGTCGCCACTTTCGTGGGCTCCTGGCTGTCCCCTGCGGGGCTGCGATCTGCGCAACTGTCGCCACTTTCGTGGGTTCCTGGGAGGCCCAGCGGAGGTGCGTCATACGCAGAACACTTTGAGGCCTCCCTGTCCCCTGCGGGGCTGCGATCTGCGCAACTGTCGCCACTTTCGTGGGTTCCTGGGAGGCCCAGCGGAGGTACGTCATACGCAGATCACTTTGAGGCCTCCCTGTCCCCTGCGGGGCTGCGATCTGCGCGACGGTCGCCACTTCGTGGGTTCCTGGGAGGCCCAGCGGAGGTACGTCATACGCAGATCACTTTGAGGCCTCCCTGTCCCCTGCGGGGCTGCGATCTGCGCTACGGTCGCCACTTTCGTGGGTTCCTGGGAGGCCCAGCGGAGGTACGTCTTACGCAGATCACTTTGAGGCCTCCCTGTCCCCCGCGGGGCTGCGATCTGCGCAGCTGTCGCCAGTTTCGTGGGTTCCTCGGAGGCCCAGCGGAGGTACGTCATACGCCGCAGATCACTTTGAGGCCTCCCTGTCCCCTACGGGGCTGCGATCTGCGCAGCTGTCGCCACTGTCGTGGGTTCCTGGGAGGCCCAGCGGAGGTACGTCATACGCAGATCACTTTGAGGCCTCCCTGTCCCCTGCGGGGCTGCGATCTGCGCGACGGTCGCCACTTTCGTGGGTTCCTGGGAGGCCCAGCGGAGGTACGTCTTACGCAGATCACTTTGAGGCCTCCCTGCCCCCTGCGGGGCTGCGATCTGCGCAACGGTCGCCAGTTTCGTGGGTTCCTGGGAGGCCCAGCGGAGGTACGTCATACGCAGATCACTTTGAGGCCTCCCTGTCCCCTGCGGGGCTGCGATCTGCGCAATTGTCGCCACTTTCGTGGGTTTCTGGGAGGCCCAGCGGAGGTACGTCATACGCAGATCACTTTGAGGCCTCCCTGTCCACTGCGGGGCTGCGATCTGCGCAACGGTCGCCACTTTCGTGGGTTCCTGGGAGGCCCAGCGGAGGTACGTCATACGCAGATCACTTTGAGGCCTCCCTGTCCCTTACGGGGCTGCGATCTGCACGACGGTCGCCACTTTCGTGGGTTCCTGGGAGGCCCAGCGGAGGTACGTCTTACGCAGGCCACTTTGAGGCCTCCCTGTCCCCTTGGCGCACCTGGCGCGCACCTGGCGCACCTGGCGCGCACCTGGCGCGCACCTGGCGCACCTGGCGCGCACCTGGCGCGCACCTGGCGCGCACCTGGCGCGCACCTGGCGCGCACCTGGCGCACCTGGCGCGCACCTGGCGCGCACCTGGCGCGCACCTGGCGCGCACCTGGCGCGCACCTGGCGCGCACCTGGCGCACCTGGCGCGCTGGGCGCACCTGACGCACCTGCCGCACGCTGCGCACCTGGCGCACCTGGCGCGCCTGGCGCGCCTGGTGCAACTGGCGCACCTGGCGCACCTGGCGCGCACCTGTCGCACACCTGGCACACCTGGTGCATCTGACGCACCTGGCGCACCTGGCGCGCTGGGCGCACCTGGCGCACCTGCCACACCTAGCGCAGACCTGGCGCACCGGGCGCGCCTGTCGCACCTGGCGCACCTGGCGCACCTGGCGCACCTGTCACACCTGGCGCACATGGCGCACCTGGCTTACTTGGCGCGCCTGGCGCAACTGGCGCACCTGGCACACCTGGGGCAACTGGCGCACCTGGCGCACCTGGCGCGCACCTGGCGCACACGTGGCGCACACCTGGCACCTGGCGGGCGCCTGGCGCACACCTGGCGCGCACCTGGCGCGCACCTGGCGCGCACCTGACGCGCTGGGCGCACCTGGCGCACCTGGCACGCTGGGAGCACCTGGCGCTCACCTGGCGCGCACCTGGTGCACCTGGCGCGATGGGCGCGCTGGGCGCACCTGGAGCACCTGGCGCACCTGGCTCACCTGGCGCGCCTGGTGCGCATGGCGCAACTGGCGCGCCTGGCGCGCCTGGCGAACCTGGCGCACCTGGCGCGCCTGGCGCGCACCTGGCGCGCACCTGGCGCACCCGGCGCACCTTGCGCATCTGGCGCACTTGGCGCACCTGGCACACCTGGCGCACCTGGCGCACCTGGCGCACCTGGCGCGCTAGGCGCACCTGGCGCACACCTGGCGCACACCTGGCGCACCTGGCGCACCTGGCGCGCCTGGCGCACCTGGCGCGCCTGGCGCACCTGGCGCGCCTGGCGCACGTGGCGTACCTGGCGCATCTGGCGCACCTGGCGCACCTGGCGCGCTGAGCGCACCTGGCGCACCTGGTACACCGGGCGCACACCTGGCGCACACCTGGCGCACACTTGGCGCACCTGGCGCGCCTGGCGCATCTGGCGCACCTGGCGCGCCTGCCGCACGTGGCGCACCTGGCGCACGTGGCGCACGTGGCGCGCACCTGGCGCGCCTGGCGCGCTAGGCGCACCTGACGCACACCTGGCGCACACCTGGCGCACCTGGCTCACTTGGCGCGCCTGGCGCACCTGGTGTACCTGGCGCGCCTGGCGCGCCTGGCGCACCTGGCGCACCTGGCGCACTTGGCGCGCCTGGCGCACCTGGCGCGCCTGGCGCACCTGGCGTACCTGGCGCATCTGGCGCACCTGGCGCACTTGGCGCGTTGGGCGCACCTGGCGCACCTGGCGCACCGGGCGCACACCTGGCGCGCACCTGGCGCACACTTGGCGCACCTGGCGCGCCTGGCGCATCTGGCGCACCTGGCGCGCCTGGCGCACCTGGCGCACCTGGCGCACCTGGCGCACCTGGCGCACCTGGCGCACCTGGCGCACCTGGCGCACCTGGCGCACCTGGCGCGCCTGGCGCGCTTGGCTCACCTGGCGCGCATGGGCTTTTGGGAGGCTCAGCGGCACCAAAATGCCGAAGTATACCATTATACCATGGCGCCGAAATGTCCTTCGGTATTGAGTGGTCCTGAATGCAATTTTCACTTGTGTAAAAAGGGTTGGGTACGTCGCAGGATCATTTTTCGAGTATGGCTCGAGTAGGGGGCCGATCTTGGCGCTCTCGAGATTGCAAACTGATGCTCTCGATGATGCCCGATCCAATGGTATGCCCAAGGAATCTGCAACTGCTCCCAACCCCGAAAATCATTCGGAAGACAAGGCGGCACAGCAGAATAGCTGCACCGCAGAATTCGTTTTTCGAGTATGGCTCGAGTAGGGGGCCGATCTTGGCGCCTAATGATACCTAGTTGTTCGAGCATGGCTCGGGTAGTGGGCCGATGTTGGCGCCTTCGAGGTTGCAAACTGATGCTCTCGATGATGCCCGATCCAACGGTATGCCCAAAAACTCTTCAATTGATCCCAATCCCGAGACTCATTCGGACAACAAGTCGGCACATCAGAATCGCTGCAGCGCGGAATTCGTTTTTCGAGTATGGCTCGAGTAGGGGGCCGATCTTGGCGCCTGATGATCGATCTGCCTATTGCAAACTGCTGCTGTCGACGATGCTCACTCCAACGGTATGCTTAGTTAATGATTATTCGGCTATTCCAGATTTCAAGATCAAGACGAGAAACCACACGCGTGCAGGCACCATGTCTCCAGTGCACGTTACCGCCGGGGCAGTTTCCCCCCGTCAGAGACGGCTGAAGCAGCAGCAATATGAGCACGAAGCCGCCCAAACGAGCCATTTGAACAAGCGGACGGCCGAAGCAGCAAATGGAGCAGGGAGACGGCCGAAACGGCAATTTGATCACTGAGACGGCGACGCGGCAATCTGAGCACAAAACTGCCCGAATGAGCATCTTAAACAAGGCGACAACCGAAGCGGCAATTCGACCACGAAACAGCCCGAATCCGCCAATTGGCCACAGAGACAGCTGGGCCGGCAATCGCAATGTGGCACGAGACGGCCCGAACAACCAGCTTGATAACGGAGACAGCCTGGGCAATATCTTATGCGCGGGACCGCCCAAGCAAGTATTTTGACCAAGCAATTGCCCAACTGGCAACTTGAACAGAATTGCCAGAGTGAGCCAGTTAAGCATGGGAACGACCGAAGCGGTGCGGAACCGCCCGAATGATCAATTGAACCATTCAAGCACGAGAGCGGCCGAAACGGCAATTTGAGCACAAAATCGCCCGAACAAGTCACTTGAGCGCGGAGGCGACCGAAGTTCTTTTTTGAGCACGCAACCGC